AAAACAGTTCTGCTGCTCAATATTTTTGTATAAATGTGATAATTTGTTTCAGGATTCATTGACGAATCGAATGTTCAAGATTTTCTGTCACATTGTAAATGTCTAAAGACTGTCTATAGTTATATATATAACCTTACAAACCCCAAACTTTTGAAAGTTAGTATATATTTGAAGGTAGCCAGAAACAAACATACACACACAAACCACAAAAACCTTATTGCTAAAGAACCCGAGACCACAGAAAATAACCAGCTATTTGCCAGTCAATAATTGTGTCAGGTATGTCTTTACAAGAAAACTGTAATTACTGGAAAAACTGGAAAATTACCAGTGCTATATTAGGGGTTTTAAGATGCTTTTGAAAAATTCTTAATGTTCAACAATGCACCCATAAAGCCTCCAACAGCAGTTCCTCAACAATATGAGGAGATGACCAGCAGCGACTAAAACTTACCATCGATGCCATTGTATGAGGCAGACACTTCCTGCACTTCCTTTTTCGACCGCATGGGGGCCCAGTTGCCATCTTCCTTGAACTGAATTTCATCACAATCTAAACAGCTGTTCAGAATCTCCATAAACAATCTAAGAATGAACAGAGAAATGTTTGGGAATAGAAGAGAGATTAGAGAAGAGAGAAAGTGAAAATTATAATAGAAAAATAAAGTTCATACATTGTTCACTAAAACCTAATTACTGCATTCAATGGTCAAATGTAACATTTATGCATTTTGTCCTTATTATCAAATGAATTTCATCTGCAGTTTTGTTCTATTATGGTTGTGCATACCCATCAATGATGAGATGTTCATAGGGTGCTTTTTTGTCACAGACAGGACACACCCATGTGGGCTTCTTTTCATTCATCTGGATGTAAAGCGTAGCATCAAAACACTGCAGGTGTGAACACGTCAACGCCCGACACGGAATCATTAGCCGCATCTTTCCCAGCTGTGTAACATGGGCAAAAGCACAGACAATCATGGAGAAATTAACACACATGGACATACTGCATGGAAACAATCCAGGCCATACACACTCACACACAAGCACACGCTCCAGTTTGGAGATGGACCAAAGAATGAAAATAACAAGAAGTGAAACATGAACAAAACTTATATAATCATGACAATATACAACTGACATTAAACAGTCTTAACTGTTTTGGACAGATTTATGAGTCATAATATACAAAACATTCTGAATCTGATTTCATTTTGAGTTTAAAATCAAAAACATCTGTCTTTGCTTTGTGTGACTTTTAACTACTTTGAAACATTAGAATCCTAAACAATAACATATTTTTTAGCTTTGGTTCTCATGTCGTCTTTGTAAGGTCCTGTAGCCGACTGCAACAAACCTGTTAAGCCAAAGAAAACCCTTGGTGTTCATTCATTTCGAATTGTAATTAAGGGTTTTCTTAGCTCCAAAGGTTCGTTGCACCCGGTCCCTGGGCTTAAATCAACATTTAGACATTCAAAAATATACATTACCGGATGTGTGGGTTTGTATGATTTTGATGAGTGCTCTGATAAAATGCTTACCGGACATAATAATGAAACTCTTAAGCTGGTGGTTGCTATTTCACTGTCAGGGTCTGCCGTTAACTTTTCCTTTACTGCAGGACATGAGCAAAAGCACACATTAGCAGCACAAAACCCACAAAGATCTTTACAACTGCACTGCTATTAATACATCTGTGAGTTATTAATACAACTCGAGGAATATGGTCACATTTAATCTGACTATCATCAGTGTTTGGGGCGACGCATTACAAGTTATGTAAGTTACATAATCAGATTACATTTTTCAAGTGTTGTTGAGTAAAGTAACTCATTACTTTGAAATTTACAACAAACTAAGTAATGCGAGTTCCCTTTCGAACGGTCACTTCGTATTGCGTAGCTATACGCAGTGGGAAAACTCCTTTTTCTCGATTTACATAAACCTATTATGTAAACCTATATGTTTGCAGCTGCACAGCTAGCCCATTGAGCCTCTGGCTCGCTCATAGGCTGTGCTGCAGCAACTGCACTCATTGGTCTCTCTGACGTGCGACCAATGAGATCACTCTACGTCATTACACATTAGAGCCCATCAGGGGGCGTGGCCTCAGCCTATATTACTCCCCGAATTTGCCATTACAGCAGATTTCACTCCTTCAGCGACAACTGCATGCCTCTGACTGTTTTACTAAGCCTATTTTACTATCTGCAGGTTCTCTCTGTGAGCCCGGCATGTCTGGAGTTTGCTCAGGATAACTCTAAGGTCATCCTCAAGCCTAGGCATGGGTATGTGCCCAAAGTGCTCTCAACACTGTTCAAAGCACAGGTGGTGACGTTATTGGCTCTTCCCCCTTCTTTGAGGATGGGGAGGTTAATCTTCTCTATCTGGAGCGTTCTGTATCGTTTGGACAATCAGAACAGCTTTTTGTCTGCTTTGGTGGTTGATCCAAAGGGGATTCAGTCACTAAGCAAAAACTGTCTAAATGGATAGTGGATACTATCGTGATGGTTTACACCTCAGTGAGTCAGGTTTGCCATATAGGTATCAGGGCCCATTCGACCAGAGGCATGGCCCCGTCATGGGCTTGGTCATTTGGCTGTCCCATTCAGGATATTTGTGATGTGGTCGGTTGGTCTTTGCCTTCCACATTTATGAAATTTTACAATATGGAGGTGCCTTCCCTAAAGGCGAAGGCGTTTTCGGTATGATTAGGGCCCGAAAGTGTCCGGTCCTGTCATTAAAATTATGGTGCAAAGTACCATTCACACACATATATATAATATAATATATATATATATATATATATATATATATATATATATATATGAAGAGTTCAGATGCAAAAGCCTCTAAATGCCATTTAAAATTTTCATCTTTAATGATGATTTTTATCAAACTTGTATATTTAAGTTCAGTAATTTCACTTAAATAACAATTAATAGGTAATTATCATTGCCATTTAAGTGAAATTACTGAACTTAAATATACAAGTTTGATAAAAATCATCATTAAAGAAGAAAATTTCAAATGGCATTTAGAGGCTTTTGCATCTGAACTCTTCATATATATATATATATATATATCCGGGCGCACTGTACTAGCTGGCTAGTTGTCGCTTCAGTCATATAAACCTGCTATATTGGCGAATTCGGGGACTAATATAGGCAGAGGCCACGACCCTTGACGGGCTCTTAAATGTAAAAGACATAGAGCAGGGATGGACAACCCTGCTCCAGCCGATCGAGTGTCCTGCACAGTTCATCTCCAACCCTAATCAAACACAATTTTCAAGTGAACCTGAAGACCTTAATTGGTTGCTTCAGGTGTGTTTGATTAGGTTTGGAGATAAACTGTGTAAGACAGTCGATCGGCAGGAGCAGGGTTGGGCAATCCTGACGTAGAGTGATCTCATTGGTCATATGTCAGAGGCGCCCACGCCATTGGATGTGCAGTTGCTGCATCACAGCCTATGAGCGGTCAGATGCTCAATGGGCTGGCTGCACAGCTGCAAATGCGTTTTACATATAGGTTTCAGTAAATCAAGAAAAAGGAGTTTTCCCCTCAATACTTCGTTCCCTAACTCACGGAACTGAGGTTACGTGAGTAACCAAGTAGTATATTATTATTTTGTTCTTCCATTTATTGACTGGCAGATCTTCTGACCTCATGTTGACAGACATTTTAAGTAATGTGCAGAGATGTTGTGTGCACTGTGTAAACATGACGGTTATTGTAGCTCTAGATTAAATGTGAGCAGGCATTTACTCATCTCACTTATCTCACTTGCACAAAAATAGATTCAGTATTCCTCAAAAGAAAATAAAAACAGTGAAATTCAAACTCAGAATATGAAGCAAACCATTTCAGTTTTAAAAAAATGCTTTCTATTCATCAAAGAACTTTCCACAGTTTCCACAAAAATATTAAGCAGCTGTTTTCAACATTGATAATAATGAGAAATTTATTGAGCACCAAATCAGAATTTTAGAATGATTTTTAAAGGATCATGTGACACTGATGACTGGAGTAATGAAGCTGAAAACAAATGTTAGTGCTTCAGAATTCGTTTGAACTGCCTTAGGCTGGTGTGCTGTAGCTTGTTTACAACAAGGGCATCAGGGCGTTCTTTCAGTATGAACAAGCCTCTTTAGACAGTTTATAGGTTGATGCATAAAATCATAATGCATCATGGAAGGTTTGAAGGGCAGACAAGAACAAAGAGCAATCTGTGCAAAGCAGAATTGTGATGTTGCATCGCTGTCAGTTTTAGAACAATCCTATATGCACTTGGCTCTATCACTCTATGCTATATAGACTGAAACATTGTGGTATACACAATCAAGCACTACTTAGTTTTGATAGGTTTAAGAAAATGATTATTGACTGCAGTCCATGGAGCACAATTTTTAAAGTTTTAAATTGGATAAAATAAGATGCCAATCATTTATTAGGCCACAAAATAGTTTATCCTTGGAGAGAGGAAGAGACAAGAGGACACAGACTATTTCTATTTATTAAACTAGCACTAAAAAACAGAGCGACTCAGTCGTTTAAGTCTTCATTTAGTAACCTGTACGCAAATTAAACACAGAGGCTTCATAATTGCCATTTGAGGCAATTAAGGTTTAGAACTAAACGTGAAAAAGTCAATTAAATGTTAAACACATATCTAAAGAACAGTTAAAATTTTTGGGATGCATTTTTTAATCGAAAATACAGTAAAAACTGTAATATTGTGAAACATTATTACAATTTAAAACAATTGTTTTCTATTTTAATATATTTTAAAATGTAAATTCCTGTGATGGCAAAGCAGCCATTAGAGTCTCCGGTGTCACATGATACTTTGTAATATGCTGATTTTGTGCTCAATAAACATTTTTCATTATTATCACTGTTGATTTTTTTTTTTTTTTGTAAAAAGTATGATGCAGTTTTTTCAGGATTCTTTAATGGACAGAAAATTCAAAAGAAAAGCATTTATTTAAAAATAGAAATCTTTTGGAAAATAAATAGAAAACTTCACTTTAGATCAATTTATTGCATCCTTGCTGAATAAAAGTATTTTTACTGCAGAACAGTAGTCTAAATCAAACTACTGTTCTAAAATCTCAATGGAAACTGCAGAAGGAACCATTGCTCATAAATGTAACATTTATTTTAGGACAGCTCTATTCCAATGGAGAATGTGTATGCTTACTGAGTGCTCTGGAGTGATCTGGGTTTCTGATGCCTTTAGCCCGTAGCCTCTGCAAAAGCATTGTGGATGACAGCTGCTTGACCAGGTACACTGCCATAGAATAACTCTGAAAAAGAAAAACAATCCAACAGTGGATAGTTACTAGAGACAAAGTGACATCCCATCCCATAAAACATCTTTATACTGTAAAACAATATGCAATGTGTGTGTGTGTGTATATATACAGTATAGACAATGTATATATGTATAAAATATCCCTGTGAGACAATGTGATGCTAATAGCATTTATTTTATTTTTCAGGTCAGATCATTGTTCTATCAGTGCCATATGAACAGGTTCTATAATAAAAAGAGCCTTTCAGATTCAGTGAGAATATACAGCTCATATAATTTTCACGACTTCTGAGAAAATGTGAAAAATTTAAGGAATCTACCACAGAGAACGCTAGGATTGCTTATTGCTTGCCGAGGCAAGTTATATGATAAGAAATTACATAATTCATGAAGCTGAATATTACTAGTAGGTGCAGTGATGTTTTATGCGCAAGAAGATTAATGTGTTCACTTATAAGATATAGGGATCTGTGGACGCAGTAATGAACTCCTGTTTGCCTACAGTAGTCTCAGAAGGAAACAGTGGCCCATTTTTATCAAAATCTAGATTATTTTTCTTAATATGCATTAACTGCTAATGCACAGGAGCAGTCATTCATCACAAATGCATTTCCTGAACATATCAAAAGTAGATGAGCATTCACAAAGATCACAAAGTATTTCAGATTAATAAATCTGGAGGAAATATATACATTTAGTGTAGAGCACAAAACCCAGAATAGACAAAGCATTTAAATGAATATAAAGCGCAAGTTTAATTGTTTTCTGTTTGGTGTCATTTCCATCAACATTCAACAAAGGTCTTGTTTGTCTGAAAAAAAAAAGACTGAACAAGGGCAAGTTTAGTTATTTTTAGCTGTCCCTCAACTCATCATTCCGAGAAAACACTAAAATACTGCATACATGCTGACCTTTTCACATAATGTGCATAAAGCCAATGCTATAATTTGCCATCATGTGACTGCAAATGGCTGCAAGACACGTATGAGGTGCTAAAAATACATTTTCATTTCAACTAGAGTTCCAGTAAAGGGCTGAGGTGAGGAAAAAAAAAAACATTTAAAAACAAAGCACTTGCATTCATGAATTAGGACATGAGGGGAAGGGGATTTTATTAACCTACCCGTCCAATTTCTGATGTCCAGGAGACTACAACGGTGTTGGGGACAGTTGTGGACAGTCTGACCAGTGAGGTAATGTTGATGGGTCTGCTGGGCCTCTTTGGTTCCACGCCATTTTGGTAGGAGGCAGATATCCCTGGTTGAAAAACAATAGGATGACAATAAATGAAAAATGAATGAATTAGTATTTATTTTAAGTTAAAAATTCAAACAAACAGCATTATGAAATGTAATTTAGTGTAGAGGTCAACAGTTTGGACAATTTTATCATTCTTTAAAAAAGCTAAAGAGACCATGTGTCTCAGTTTAGGTGATGGATAGATGGACAAATGGACTGTAGTTAACTTACTGGGAGATTACACGGTTTCCCATTGACTTTAACACAAAGATTAGGGGGAAAGTGGTCCTCCTGGGGGCAGCTTGTCTCTGATAGACAAAACCTGGATAACGTCATATTTATAATATAAGCAGAAATATCAGGCTAGTGCTCCGAATCTTTAGATCATATTTATGTGAAAAATCAGTGCATTAGAACATGAATGGGTTACCGTAAACTGTACTTGCACAGTAAAGTCACATTTGTCCCCGATATGTCCCTGCAAAAAGAGAAAGTAAAAACTACTTTGAGATAACAATTGAATAACAGATAACAGGAGCCTTATAGAAACTCCTCTTCTTATTTAGGGATTTTTAGAACGAAATATAATAATTTAAAAAAAAAAAAAAAAAAAAAAAAAAAAACACTTACATTGAGCTGCTGACTT